AATTTGCAGGTATCGGAAGTAGTCATGGGTGTTGAGTGGTGTATTTCAGGGCAAATCTGTAAATGGGATTAGTTGGTTTCTGTAGAATTGATATATTTTTGTTGGGTCATTGTCTTCGTAATTACAGTTGAGCGGACATGAATGTTCGGATCTGGTGGGTTCGGCCGAACTTTGAAAAAAAGTCCGGGTGGTGATCGAACTTGACCCCGAACCCGAACCCCATTGAAGTCAATGGAGACCCGATCTTTTGGAGACAAAAAAGCCTCTAAATAAAAAACTCCTGGAAAGGGTTAGAGGGCTGCAAAAGCAAGTCAAATGGGGGTAAGAGTGGGACAAGTGCCCTGCAAACAAATGTGGATAGGGAAATCATTTAAAATAACATTAAAATTAAAAATACAGCTGAGCCATAAAATAGCACTAGATGGAATCTTTGATTTTAGCTTCGGAACAACATAAATCAAAAGAACATAAGAGTCAAATAGCAGCGTCAAATACTGCTGTCACATTGCAGTTTTAAATCAAAATCTAAAGCATGGCTGTCAGGAGGATCAACAGAATTATCCATTTCACTCTCAGATATGAAGTGCACCCCACTAATGTACTATTTAGCAGATTAGCACCCAGAAAATTTTAAAAGAACACTATAGTCACCTAAATTACTTTAGCTAAATAAAGCAGTTTTAGTGTATAGATCATTCCCCTGCAATTTCACTGCTCAATTCACTGTCATTTAGGAGTTAAATCACTTTGTTTCTGTTTATGCAGCCTAGCCACACCTCCCCTGGCTATGATTGACAGAGCCTGCATGAAAAAAAACTGGTTTCACTTTCAAACAGATGTAATTTACCTTAAATAATTGTATCTCAATCTCTAAATTAAACTTTAATCACATACAGGAGGCTCTTGCAGGGTCTAGCAAGCTATTAACATAGCAGGGGATAAGAAAATCTTAATTAAACAGAACTTGCAATAAAGAAAGCCTAAATAGGGCTCTCTTTACAGGAAGTGTTTATGGAAGGCTGTGCAAGTCACATGCAGAGAGGTGTGACTAGAGTTCATAAACAAAAGGATTTGTGCAGGGTATTCTCTTTCATTGTTCAAACTGAGCTCAACTCCTGATGCATGGAGAAAAGGCCTTCACAAGCCTCTGCTATTGTGTACATAGTTTATACTAAGTGACCCATAGGTTGAGGAGGCGGTGACCGTGGCGGTGTAGGTGGAAACAGCGGTGGAGGAGGAGGAGGTAGCCAACACTGTTTATATACATCTGTAAAGGATTTCCCTGTATTTACCTGTACCCATTCGGTTATTTCCTCTCCCTGCTAGTTAAGTGACTTTAAAGTATTTGTTTTATTTCTGTGTTCGGGACATTTATTCGTTCTATCGAACGGAGACCACCCTGGGTAGCAATCAGAACTTAGAACACCAAGTAACCACAAAAAACGCAAAGTAATTGAGTGCTGCTAGGTGGCCACCATTCGGCATACGAACACGTGGCAAGAACAAAGGATGACTGCCATCTTAAATCTCCCGAACGCGGCCAGCGGGACTTACTCGTGGATTGCCTGGAACCATTTTCGGCATGGCAATCACACGAACACCCAGTCTCCATGGAAGTCCCGTCTGACCTATTTCCACTCACAGTATCAGACTGGCGTTCGGGAGTTTCAATCAACCAAATGAGGGGAGCATTCACATATAACCAGATACCGCATAACTGTGGTGGTTTTCGTGTAATTCTGCACGAACGGAGACCGGCTCTTGCTTCCAATTTCATGGAACTCTAACTCGGATAGAACCACATGGCGAGCCGGTCAAACTTCCACCTTCCAAACTTTCAAGGAGACATAGAAGCGGGATACTAAGGCTGAGAACGGCGTCATCGGCACTGACCATGTTGGTGGAGTACTCGAAACAGTGCAAATTGGCACACAGGTCTTGTGGGCACGTCACATATGAGGCAGTGAGCGGGAAGGTCGAAGTTCCACTGCAGCGCAGACAGGCGTGAGAACGCCAAAAGCGCGCACAGACGACCCGCACTTTCTGCAGCAGCTCTGATATATCTGGGTAGATTTTCATCAATTTCTGCACCACCAAATTCAGCACATGCGCCAAGCAAGGGATGTACATCAAACCGGCTAGGCCCAGAGCTGATAGCCCAAAGAGTTCGCCCATTATCGCACACCACGAGGCTGGGCTTGAGGCTCAGTGGCAACAACCACTCATCGGTCTGTTATTCCATGCCCGTCCACAGCTCCTGTGCTGTTTTCCCCCAAACATATGAGTTTTAAAACAGCCTGCTGTCGTTTCCCCCTGGCTGTGCTGAAGTTGGTGGTGAAGGAGTTATGCTGCCTGGATGAAGTGGTGGTAGAGGAGGAGGATGCGGAGTAGGAGGAGGAGGAGGCAACAGGAGGCAAAGCGAAATGCCCTGCAATCCTCAGTGGCGGAAGGACATACGCCAAACTGCTATCCGCCTCAGGCCCAGTTAGGGAGATATAGAGTCTCTGCCCATGCTTACTGGTCCACGTGTTTGTGGTTCTGTGGACCTTGCCACAGATGGTGTTGCGCAGTGCACACCTGATTTTGTCTGCCAATTGGCTGTGCAGGGAAGGGATGGCTCACCTGGAAAAGTAGTGGCGGCTGGGAACCACGTACTGTGGGACAGCCACCGCCATCAGGTTTTTAAAACTGTCCGTCTCCACCAGACTGAATGACAGCATATCAAAGGCCAGAAATTCTGAAATGCTGGCATTCAGGGCCAGGGATCGCAGGTGGCTAGGGGGGTACTTCCTCTTTCTCTCCAGTGTTTGGGAGATGGACAGCTGAACACTTCCATGGGACAGTGTGGAGATGCTTGGGGACGGTGGCGGACGTGTTGGCGTTGCTGCCACATCCTCCGTTTGCGGGGTGGAGGAAGAGCCTGAGACAGCAGCACAAGAGGAAGCAGGAGGAGCCTGGTTTTTGAGGTGCTTACTCCACTGCAGCTCGTGCTTTGCATGAAGATGCCTTGTCATGCCTTGTCAAGCAGGTTGTGCTCAGGTTTAGCACGTTTATGCCTCGCTTCAGGCTCTGATTACACAGCGTGCAAGCCCCTTGTGTCTTGTCGTAAGCACATTGTCTGAAGAACTGCCATGCCAGGGAACTCCTTGGAGATGGCTTTGGTGCGCTTGGTCCCTGGGTGCGGTGGGCAGTAGGGGATGGCCCGCTCCCTCTTATGCTGTGCTGGTGCCTCTGTGCGACCAGCGCCTCTTCCTCCAAACTGCACACGTCACTCGCATGACCTTCATTCTATGTGGGGTCTAGGACCTCATCATCCTCCACATCATCTTCCACCCACTCCTCAACCCTGCCCTCCTTGCCGGTCTGCACACTGCAGAAAGCCACAGTAGTTGGCACCTGTGTTTCGTCATCATCAGAGACGTGCTGCGGTGGTCCTTGTATGTCGACATCCTGACTCATAAGTGGTTGTGCATGAGTGCACTCAATCTCTTCCACTTCTCGGGCAGGGCTAGGTGGATGGTCCACGGAAACCCCACCCGCAGAGTCATCAAAAAGCATTAGAGACTGCTGCATGGTTGAGGTGAAAGACAGATGGCCATGGTCTGCAGGTGCCAACTCTGAGCTTTCAGCAGGGGCCCAGGTGGGAGACAATGTGAAGGAACTGGAGGCACTGTCAGCCCTCCAGTCTACTATCGCCTGTACTTATTCTGGCCTCACCATTCGTAGAGCGGCATTCGGGCCTACCAAATAACGCTGAAGGTTCTGTCACGTACTCGCACCTGAGGAAGGTGTAGCTGGCACAGATCGACCACATCCTCTCCTCGCAACAGGAGCTCCACTAACACCAGCAGCACCACGACAAGGGCCACATCCCTTCTTTGACGCTCTCCTCATTCTTTGCGTTTACCCACCAAACTAACAGATGGTTTATGTCAGCCGACAATGTAACCGCCAATAGTCAACTATTTATTAATTTATTTTTTTGTTTTTGTTTTTAGTTTATTGGACTGTAAGAAATGCACCGCAGGCCGCAAATATACTATTTAGCAGCCAAAAAATTAGAATTTTTGAAAGTGCGATGTAAGCACAGTGTTTGATGGTTCTATTTGACTCTCAGATATGAAGTGCACCGCAGGCCGCAAATGTACTATTTAGCACCAAAAAGTTAGATTTTTTTTTTAAACCAACAATGTAACAGTAGTATTTAAGGGTTTTATTGGACTGCAAGAAATGCAGTACGCAAATGTACTATTTAGCACCAAAAAATGGCAGTATTTAAAAATACCTAGATGTTGCCCACTGAGCTACCAGGACAGGATTAAAGTCATGTGCCTGGCACACATGCAGTTGCAAGTGCACTGCACTCTCTGTGGCACTGGGCTCAGGGCAGGGTACAAAAATGTAGTATTATAGCACCCACAAAAATAATCGCTGTAGTTTGAATATTCGCTGTAGTTTGCAGATTTAACACCAGAATTCTTTCCTAAGCTGTCCCTAACAGCTGCAGCATCCTCTCCCTACACTAATAAGAGCTCATCATGTGCATGCGGCGCTACGCGACTCCAGCTTATATATAGAGGCTGGGTCACATGTTGCACTGGCCTATCACAGCCATGCCATTAGTCGGAATGCCTGTGATGGCTTCTAAGGGCACACGAGTCAAACGCTTGTTGATTGGCTGCCCTGCAGCCTTTCAAAATGCGCCATTAAATTGCCGAACAACGAACTCAAACACGAACATACACTGATATGTCCGTGTTTGGGTCCGGGGTCCAAAAACCATAATGTTCGGTACGAACCCGAACTTTACAGTCCGGGTTCGCTCAACTCTAAAAATAAACAATATACATTTTAAACCTGAAGGTTGGGTGTGGTCTCAAGGCTAAAGAGAGCAGTCGCATGTTGGCTAAGCTCCCACGGCTGGAATACTAAACGGCAGATTTCGGGGCTCCTACCTACCCTTACCCCGCCCTAGATCGGGTTAAACAACTCACCCCACAATGGGGAAGAAAGCAAAGAAGCTCAAAACCCTTACCGGGAACGGCTCCCGCGATATCGCCGACCTTCTACAGCCGCGGCCTAGGCCCAAAATGACGCCGCAAATAGATGCATACTACACCTCCTCGGAGGATGAAATTCTGGACGCACCAGATGAAATCCCCTGCTCGAAAAGCATAATCAGCCCACAAGGAGGGGAAGATCTGACAGCCCCAGCTACTAAAGGGGATATTAAGGCTCTAATGTCGAATATAAGAGCCTTTTTCAATGCAGACTTGAACGTAATATGAGAGGATATAACAGTGGTGACTGCCAGAGTACAGGCCAATGAGGACACCACCACCTCCCTAGCCCAAAAGCAAGCAAGCATCAACGAGCTACTGCTACAGCTCCAAGCATCACACAAAAATATGCAGATCAGACTGGATGCCCAGGATGGCGCGAGGAGACGCAATAACCTTAAAATAAGGGCATAGCCGAATCAATCACCGAACAGGAACTGCTCCATTTCTTACGCCGGCTATGGACTACCCTACTGCCGCAGCGCTCTGCAAAGGGCATACAGATAGACGGATACTATAGACTTGCCAAATCAAACAGGGCCCCGGCCGGAGTGCCCTGAGATGTCCTGATACAGGACTGACCCCTACACCAGTCCCAGATGCTTACTCACCATTTCTGTTTAACTGTTTAGTTGCTCTTGTTTTAATGTCTAGTTCCTATCCAGCTATATTCAACACTGATAGAGTCCCCGGGGCATAGTTAACACCGATGACCCCATGCGCTAGCACACCTCATACGACATGTCCCAATAAGAGGGCACAGAAGCCGGAGATTCCCCTCCACCCCCCCCCCAACACTCTGGGGTAACTGAGTGTAAACTAACACACGACACACCCGACTGACCACATAAGTACCTATGAGTTCGGCAGGGCTACAGCTTCCCTATATAAGACCCTTAGGGCTGGGTCCCTCTCCCAGGTCCACGGTCCCAGCCAACTTATAACGCCCTACATTAATCACCACAACGTACAACTACGATAACTCAACACTTATATCTTACTAGTGTATCACAACACTCTGCCAGTACACTAGAACCTGACGCCCATATCAAGGGCACAACCATGTTTACCCGCGGAGTGCTTACGGACTTCTAACCAAATAAAAACTGTGCATTGTTGATCTATACTGTACCAATATTGTTGAAATGTGGCATACGAAAGCTTTTGTGGCGCAGTATGCGTGCTTGTTAACTCCTTGCACAAAAAAATAAAGAATTAAAAAAAAAAAAAAACCTGAAGGTTAACATGTGGAATGTCTGTTCGATGTAATGGGTGCTGATCAAAGTTATCTTAGAGTCCATCAGATGGGACTCTGAACGGTGCCTCTGGGCTGCTGGGGTGGTCTTTTCTGTGTGTTCTGCCTCTGGGGAAGCGAGGTGTAGGGTCTTCTATTGGCGTTTAAAGTATGTTTGTCTGGGGCTTGCAAAGTGAGGCCTGGTGTTGAGGCAAAGTCCTCCATTTCTGCTGGATGGTGAAGAGTGTGTTCTTGGTTTTTTGATTGGGTAACTAAAATTATAGATCAGGGTGGTGCAGTAGACATTGCTTACCTAGATTTCAGTAAGGCTTTTGACACTGTTGCACATAGAAGGCTTATCAATAAACTGCAATCTTTAAGTTTGGATTCTAATATTGTTGAATGGGTAAGGCAGTGGCTGAGTGACAGGCAACAGTGGGTTGTAGTTAATGGAAAATATTCGAAGCTTGGACCAGTGGGGTACCTCAGGGATCTGTACTTGGACCCATTCTCTTTAATATTTTTATTAGTGATGTTGCAGAAGGTCTTGATGGTAAGGTATGTCTTTTTGCTGATGATACTAAGATATGTAACAGGGTTGATGTTCCAGGAGGGATAAGCCAAATGGCAAATGATTTAGGTAAACTAGAAAAATCGTTAGAATTGTGGCAAATGACATTTAATGTGGATAAGTGCAAGATAATGCATCTTGGATGTAAAAACCCAAGGGCAGAGTACAGAATATTTGATAGAGTCCTAACCTCAACATATGAGGAAAGGGATTTAGGGGTGATTATTTCTGATGACTTAAAGGTAGGCAGACAATGTAATAGAGCAGCAGGAAATGCTAGCAGAATGCTTGGTTGGATAGGGAGAGGTATTAGCAGTAGAAAAAAGGGAAGTGCTCATGCCATTGTACAGAACACTGGTGAGACCTCACTTGGAGTATTGTACACAGTACTGGAGACTGTATCTTCAGAAGGATATTGATACCTTAGAGAGGGTTCAGAGAAGGGCTACTAAACTGGTTCATGGATTGTGGGATAAAACTTACCAGGAAAGGTTGAAGGATCTTAACATGTATAGCTTGGAGGAAAGAAGAGACAGGGGGTATATGATAGAAACATTTAAATACATAAAGGGAATCAACCCAGTAAAAGAGGAACCTATATTTAAAAGAAGAAAAACTACCACAACAAGAGGTCATAGTCTTAAATTATAAGGGCAAAGGTTTAAAAATAATATCCGGAAGTATTGCTTTCCTGAAAGGGTAGTGGATGCATGGAAAAGCCTTCCAGCTGAAGTGGTAGAGGTTAACACAGCAAAAGAGTTTAAGCATGCGTGGGATATGCATAAGGCTATCCTAACTATAAGATAAGGTCAGGGACTAATGAAAGTATTTACACAATTGGGCAGACTAGATGGGCCAAATGGTTCTTATCTGCCTTCACATTCTATGTTTCTATATTTATTTAAATATTTACAAGTGATCAATTCATGAAAAACATGTTACTAATTCCTTATAATGATTAAATGATGGTGAGCTTTGGATACAGCACATGTTTGCTTGTCTTTTATATTAAAGTAACATAATTTAGATTTTTAGAGCAGCAATAGAGGTACATAGAATTTTTATATTACAATTAAACTGCCTGAAATTATATTTAATGATAAAAAGTAAGTATTTCAAAGTAATAGACTAAAATTTATATTCAGCAATATACTCATGAAACAGCAGTCATTATACCTTATAATTTTTATATTTGTCTTTCTACTTCATAATAATTTTAGTTTATCATTTGTATTTATTTTACTCACAGATGCTTTCTATGATATACTACAATGTCAATTAGGGCATAAACATTCCTTTTTTTTAAATTTAAAACGAAAATAACAACCTGGAATTCGACAAATGGTAGGTTTGCAATCAGACTTCTATATTCCAAAGTACAGGGAGTGCAGAATTATTAGGTAAATGAGTATTTTGACCACATCATCCTCTTTATGCATGTTGTCTTACTCCAAGCTGTATAGGCTCGAAAGCCTACTACCAATTAAGCATATTAGGTGATGTGCATCTCTGTAATGAGAAGGGTGTGGTCTAATGACATCAACACCCTATATCAGGTGTGCATAATTATTAGGCAACTTCCTTTCCTTTGGCAAAATGGGTCAAAAGAAGGACTTGACAGGCTCAGAAAAGTCAAAAATAGTGAGATATCTTGCAGAGGGATGCAGCACTCTTAAAATTGCAAAGCTTCTGAAGCGTGATCATCGAACAATCAAGCGTTTCATTCAAAATAGTCAACAGGGTCGCAAGAAGCGTGTGGAAAAACCAAGGCGCAAAATAACTGCCCATGAACTGAGAAAAGTCAAGCGTGCAGCTGCCACGATGCCACTTGCCACCAGTTTGGCCATATTTCAGAGCTGCAACATCACTGGAGTGCCCAAAAGCACAAGGTGTGCAATACTCAGAGACATGGCCAAGGTAAGAAAGGCTGAAAGACGACCACCACTGAACAAGACACACAAGCTGAAACGTCAAGACTGGGCCAAGAAATATCTCAAGACTGATTTTTCTAAGGTTTTATGGACTGATGAAATGAGAGTGAGTCTTGATGGGCCAGATGGATGGGCCCGTGGCTGGATTGGTAAAGGGCAGAGAGCTCCAGTCCGACTCAGACGCCAGCAAGGTGGAGGTGGAGTACTGGTTTGGGCTGGTATCATCAAAGATGAGCTTGTGGGGCCTTTTCGGTTGAGGATGGAGTCAAGCTCAACTCCCAGTCCTACTGCCAGTTCCTGGAAGACACCTTCTTCAAGCAGTGGTACAGGAAGAAGTCTGCATCCTTCAAGAAAAACATGATTTTCATGCAGGACAATGCTCCATCACACGCGTCCAAGTACTCCACAGCGTGGCTGGCAAGAAAGGGTATAAAAGAAGAAAATCTAATGACATGGCCTCCTTGTTCACCTGATCTGAACCCCATTGAGAACCTGTGGTCCATCATCAAATGTGAGATTTACAAGGAGGGAAAACAGTACACCTCTCTGAACAGTGTCTGGGAGGCTGTGGTTGCTGCTGCACGCAATGTTGATGGTGAACAGATCAAAACACTGACAGAATCCATGGATGGCAGGCTTTTGAGTGTCCTTGCAAAGAAAGGTGGCTATATTGGTCACTGATTTGTTTTTGTTTTGTTTTTGAATGTCAGAAATGTATATTTGTGAATGTTGAGATGTTATATTGGTTTCACTGGTAATAATAAATAATTGAAATGGGTATACATTTGTTTTTTGTTAAGTTGCCTAATAATTATGCACAGTAATAGTCACCTGCACACACAGATATCCCCCTAACATAGCTATAACTAAAAACAAACTAAAAACTACTTCCAAAAATATTCAGCTTTGATATTAATGAGTTTTTTGGGTTCATTGAGAACATGGTTGTTGTTCAATAATAAAATTAATCCTCAAAAATACAACTTGCCTAATAATTCTGCACTCCCTGTAAAATAGTTTTAACCATGACTTAAAAATAAAGATGAGAAAAGACTAGTAAGACGTTTAGAAATAAATAAACTATAAAAAGTCAGAATATTTATTTTTACTTCTGAGTAGAACTAGTAATACAAGTAGTAATAAAGCAAATAATAAAAGCACAGCTACTTTGGGATTCTCACTAAACTCCAGATTGTAGTGAATTGAAATCCAGATGGCAACATTTAGGCAAAAATGCTATTATATGCTTCAAATTCAAAAGCATATTAAAACCAAATAAAATTACCTTTTAGTCTCAGTATTTCACACTTTGCTGAGCAGTAGCTTATGTCCTTTCCTGTGGATATTCCTTGTTGTAAAGTAGATGTACTGAAAGTTTGAACTGTAAACTGAGTTACTTATTTACAATAACAGCCAGTAGATTCACACACGTAATCATAGTGGTTTCTCAAACAGATACAAGCAAACACACAGGCATATGCAGGTATATACA